CTCTTTTCGTTGAGCATTAAGTGAACATTTTCTCATCCTTTTATAAACTTGTCATAAGCATGATTTTCAGTGAATCCATGGATCATCGTTTACTTAGCCATCCCCCTGGTCTTGAAGCTTTTGTCATTGAATTTTTAGTGTGCATTAAGCTTATTTTTTTCTGTGACTTTTAATTGTTTCTTTATGTTAATCACCCAAAGGTGCAACTATCAGGTCAAACCATAATAAAGTCTTGGTTTTCTCTAATTAACTTCTGATCTTTTCCTCCCTTGTTGTGGGTTAGCATCCGCATATCAGAGAAAACATTTGGCCTTTGGTTCTTTGGAATTGGCTTGTTTCACTTAGCTTGACATTCTCCATTTCCATCCATTTACCAGCAAATGCCATAATTTCATTCTTCTTTATGGCTGAGTAATATTCTATTGTGTATATATTACCACATTTTGTTTATCCATTCATTTGTTGTAGAGCACCTGGGTTTGTTCTATAACTTGGCTCTTGGGAATTGAGCTGCTATAAACATTGAAGTGGCTGTGTCTCTGTAGTATGCTGATTTTAAGTCCTTTGGGCATAGACTGAGGAGTGGGATAACTGAGTTAAATGTTGGTTCCGTTCCAAGTTTTCTAAGGAATCTCCACACTGCTTTCCAGGGTGATTGCACCAGTTTGCAGTCCTGCCAGCAATGTATAAATGAGCCTCTTTCCCCACATCCTTGCCAACATTTAATGTTATTTGTATTCTTGATAATTGCCATTCTGACTGGAGTGAGATGGAATCTCAGTGTAGTTTTGATTTGTATTTCTCTAATTGCTAGAAACGTTGAACACTTTTTCATATATTTGTTGGCCATTCGTATTTCTTCTTCTGTGAAGTGCCTGGAGAACCACCATCTTCACAAAGCTTATCACTGGGAATATTATGTGTTTCTTCACTTGTTCAAGACCATCGCTCAAAAGCTTGAGCTTAGTCTTTGCAGTTTTCTTCATGGAGGAATTTCACTATCTTGTTGCTTTTACAGATGAGCTTTTGTGCATTAAAATGAGGCACTGGTCAATGTGGCTATGAAGAAAGCTGTTGATTTTTGAATATTAATTTTTATGTAAATATTCTTTTAATTACTAACTTCTGATTAATTCTCATCTTTATTAGAGTGTTTTCCTGGAGTTTTCATACATATAAACTATTTTTTTCTTTCTTTTTTTTTGGTACCAGGGATTGAACCCAGGGACACTTAACCACTAAGCCACATCCTCAGCCCTTTTTACATTTTATTTAGAGTCAGGGTCCCACGGAGTTTCTTAGGGCCTTACTAAATTGCTGAGGCTGGCTTTGAACTCTCCACCCTCCTGCCTCAGCCTCCTGAGCCACTGGGCCTGGCTAATCTAATAATTTTATTTCCTCTGTTCCAAGGGTCATTGAGGGTCATTGGTCATTGTTGCTGTCTCTTAATCAGACCTATTGATGTGGTGTATTACTTTATAGATTTCCTGATACTAAATCATTCTTGTCTTCCTAGGATAAAAATCTACTTGGTTATATTGGATTCGTTTCCTCGTATTTTACTTGAGACCTTGACGTCTACTCACATCACAGGGATTAGCCCACAGGCATCTTGGTCACAATTTACTGACGACAGGAGTCTGGGTCAGAGGGACCTGGTTGGAAAGTGTATCTTTTCCTGATTCTGAGTCAGTTTCCAAAGGAGAGCAGTTATCTAATTCTTTGAAAGTTTGAATGAATTTACCTGCAAAAGTCATAAATTTAGAGACTTTCTAAAGGTAAATCTTTCATGACTTTTTATTTTATGTTTTTTTTCATCTATTCTGGATTTTTCCTTTTTAAAGTAAAGTTTGGTGATGTTTATTTTCTGAAAAATCACCCATTCCATTCTTTTTTTTCAAAATCAAAGTCATATTCATTTTCACGTCTTATTTCACTTCTATTGCTTCTTAATTTCATATATAGCTTCCTTTCTCTAAGTAATTAATTTCCAGCTTTATCTGGGTTATGTCCTTTTCTGTATTTCCTTAGCTGTGGTTTTATTAGCTCAGTTGGGTTTTTGTTGTTTTGTTTGTTGAATTTTTTTTTTTTTTTTTCCTGACACTTGGGGTTAAGCCCAGGGATACTCTACCACGGAACTTTGCCTCCAGCCCTTTTGATTTTTTTTTTTTTTTTTTTTTTGAGACAGGGTCTCACCAAGTTGCCCAAGCTGGCCTCCAACTTAGGTCCTCCCTCCTCAGCCTCCCAAGACACTGACATTCTAAGTGTATGCCACTGGCTCAGCAATTTTTTAACTTTTGAGCTGCATGTTTGGAGTAACACTATCAGACAGACAAATGTGTGATTTGAAATTTAATAATATATTTTATTTAACTCAGTACACTCCACATTTCAATGGGTTCTAAGCCTTTTTAAAATATGAAACATTTTGTGTTCTTGTTTTTATATAAATCTCTGAAAAACCCTATCTACTGTACATTCACAGAACATGTCAGTTTGGTTAGCCACATTATAAGCACCCAATAATCATACATATCTAGTGTTTATCATATTGGAAAACAGAGGTTTAAGTGATACATTTTCTTCCTTTATTTAATAGCCAAAATAGTTGAAACTATAAATTGACCTCTTATCATAACTTGGGCCACATCCTACCAGTTTTTATGGCTCTTTGTTTCCTAAATAATCTATTGAATATTTGATTATTTCTTATCCCATCTTTCTTTAAGAGGATACCTTTTAAATACATAAGTAATTGTTGTGGTTTTTTTAAGTTGTTGCTAATTCTTGGTCCCAGTGTCTAACCCATACAATTTCTATGTTTTGAAAATTATAGTGGAATCACAGTTCACTATAAGGTTGCTTTAATTTAGACTTATTAATACTACTATTTAAATAATTCTATTATTTAAATCATCTTGCCCATTTCACCAATAATAGAATGTTAGTGGTTTCATTTCCTAGTACAATTTTTTCCTTTATTTATTTTTCTTTTCTCTCTTCTCTCTTTCATTTTCTGTTTTCAGTTCTACTAACAATCTACTAATGTTTGAACATTTTTAAAAAAATGTACTTTAACTTATATTTCTATGATTATCACACTTAGGCTTTATTTATTTTTCATCCCCTTCCCACAAGTATTTATCAGTTGTCAGTAATCTTGGATTATTAAGTCACTACTACCATGAAACTATTATTTATTTTTAAAACTAAATATCAGCCAGGCAAAATCACTTGAGCTCAGGAGCTTGAGACCCACCTGGGCAGCATAGTAAGGCCCTGTTTCCAAAATTAATAATGAGGATGTGAGGACCATCTGGCTTTTATACCTGTCACCCCATTGATCTCCAGGGTAGGTACCCCATCGCTAGGTAGATGTCCCCTTGTGCCCTCAACACTCCATGTGTGTCCCTCCTGAAGCTTGTGCTCGGTAGAGGAGGAGCAATAGAGGAGGAGCTTTCTTTGACCAAGGGTATCCCAGTAGCTGTGCTTCCCTGATAAAACCTCCAAACAATCTTTCAGGGTCCAAAACTAATAATGAAGTTAAAAAAAAAAAAAAGGTTGTTAAAATTAAAAAAAAAAATCTTCTCTTACAATGTCTAGTTTTTGATTCACTCTATAACCAAAATTGTTACTTTTTTTTTTTTTTAAGTACCAGGGAATGAATGCAGGGGAACTTAACCGCTGAGCTACATCCCCAGCTCTTTTTTTGTATTTTATATGAGCATCTCACTGAGTTGCTTATGACCTCACTAAGTTGTTTCATTTCCCAGTATATTTTTTTCCTTTTATTTATTTTTCTTTTCTCTCTTCTCTCTTTCATTTTCTGAGTCTGATTCTGTCTTGCAGTCCTCCTGCCTCAGCCTCCCTGTCTACTGGGATTACAGGCATATACCTGCGCAGCCAGCTATAATTAATTATCTTGACTGGATTTCATGCATTTACCCGATTTTCCCTTCCCATTCCTCTGTACTATGATTTCCTCAGACTTGAGTCATAAATTTTGTTGGCTGGAACATGCATTCAAGTAAGATAAAAGTTTCAAGCAACTTTATCGTTTTGTAGCTGGGTAGGGTTAACTTACACTCACACTCCAAGATTTTTTCATCTTGCAAAACTGAAACTCTGTACCCATTAAATGACTCCCCCTGCCTCCAACCCTAGGCATTCTTTCTGTTCTATGAGTTTGACTACTCTAGATACTTGTTCCTGTCAGAATCCTAGCCTCTTTGAAGGCTCTGCTTTCCAGTTGAGAGTAGTAACTCCTGCCTCTGAACTCCAAAGTCCCTTTACTGGAACCCTTGATGGCTTTTAATCCCATCTCTCTTGTATCATAGTTAACAGGGAACCTGCCTAGCCTAGCCCCTAGGCCAGGCCCTGGCAGGTAGCACAGTAATACTCTAAGGAGGGAGAATGAGTGAGTGAATGAACGCATGCTTCAGTTTTCCTACTGTCTTCTAGACCCTTTGCAGGCAGGGGCTATACTTGTGTTTCTAGCCAACGGCCAGGGCTAAAAATGGGCCTGGGTGACCAGTTGCTGGCCCTGTTGGCAAGGGTGTGTTCCGGTTACCCTCCCTGATGGAGAGGTTGTGATACGGAGCTTAGCCAAAGGAGACAGTGTAGCCACAGGGAGTTGAAAGAGGGAGGGGAGCAGTCTAAGAAGGGTGTCATCCCGGTCCCATCCCACCTCCTCAGTCTTGAGGTCATGAAGGCAAGATTTAAGGGCCTCTGGGAAGGAGGGTGGTGACCTGCAGCATGCCTGGGCAATATTGGGGAAAGATGAATCTGTGCCCCAACACAGCGACACCTGGAGAAGAGGTGTAGAGGCCTCCAGTCAAGGTGGTCCCGCTGCCCCAGAGAGTCCACAGGTCACCCACCCCATCTTCATTTAAGACATGGGGTTTGCGTGCCGCCCAGGACCGGCCCTTGGAGAGCAGGTTCTGTGGCGCAGCGGGTTGTGCCCGGGCCCCTCGCTGACACCGTCTTTTGTGCCCCCACAGAAGGACTTCACAGTGCGCGAGGAGCTGCAGCAACAGGACGTGGAGCGCTGGCTCGGCTTCATCACCTTCCTGTGCGAGGTGTTCGGCACCATGCGCAGCAGCACAGGCGAGCCCTTCCGCGTGCTGGTGTGCCCCATCTACACGTGCCTCAGGGAGGTAAGAGCCGTAGGCCCCGCCTCAGCCGGGCCCCGCCCTGACAGGCCACACCCCCGGACCACGCCCCCGGCCGGGCGCACCCTGGCCACGCCCCCGGCTCGCAGAAATGGCAGGTCGGGCGAGAAGCGCTAGAAAGCCGCAAGGTTGCATAGCTTATAAATGCTTTGGTAAAGAGAGACCTCATTCCCCATGCCTCTACATCGAAAGCCAGGTTTTCATTTATTAGGTTTACCTAAAGAACTCCTTTAACTCAGACTTCAGTAACTCCTAATCCAACACGCTGGCCACAGAGAGGAGGCCCAGGGTATTATTTCAATGAATTTTCTATAAAGAACATATTTGCTTCTACATTTCATCTGAACAAGGAATAAATAAGAATAACCAGGACTGGGAGTGTGACTGAGCAGTAGAGTGCTTGCCTAGCATATGCAAGGCCCTGGGTTGGGTCCCTAGGAAAGGAAAAAAAGTAAATATATAAATTTTGAAGAAGCAAGAACTTCATGGGGCACTTGCCCTACAGAGTATTATAACACATTTTATAAGGTAATTCTGGCCGTTCTCAGGATAAATTTGAAAGGGGACAAAAAATGGAAGCTTGCAGCCCAATTGGGATTTCTTGGGACCCTGTGTCAGCAGGGTGAGGTTGGGGGCTATGAATACAGCCCTGAGAAAGAGGAGGGAGAGGGGTGTTGAGTCCTAGTTGTATTTTTGAGTTAGAGCCAACAGGACATGCTATTGGAGATGGAGGAAGAAACTAACAAGTTCTCTGTTTACCAACCTGTGGCCACATTTTCAGGAAGAGCAAATGCTGGAAGAGAAACAGTATAGGGATGAGAACCAGGAATCAGTTTCGGGACATGACATTTGGGTCTCCTTTTGAGCACCCTTGGGTCCAAGGTTGATGGAAAGAAGAGTTTGAAGCTCTGGAAGGGGTTACAGGGAGATAGGGGGTTCACTCGGGTTAAGTGTCCATGTGCACCTGGTGCTGGAGCCTGGAGATGGATGGAGTCACTCAGAAAGAGGGTCTAGATGGGGAGAGAGGCAGGGTCATAGAGGGGGCGAAAGAGGAATGGCCTGGGCAGGAGGAGGCAAACCAAGAGGGTGAGGTGTCAAGAAGAGTCCAGAAAAGTCCATGAGAACCATCACAGCGTCCCTCTGACAGAAGGTTCTGCAAGTCCCTTACTTCTGGAGTGCTGTCCCCTCCCACCCTAGCAGCTCTCTGCTACTACCAGGACACTGGGAGGGACAGGTTCTAGAGAGCCAAAGGACCAACACAGAGAAGTGTCCTGGCTTTGGCCACAAGGAGGTCATGGGGACCTGGGTGTCAGTGGAGGAGAGGATGGATGCGTGGGCGAGCCCTTCTGGAAGTCCGCACAGGGCGACGGGGGTCAGCAGGGAAAGGGCTCTGGTTGGCTGAAGGGGAGGGGTGGAGTCCAGGGATATGTTTGTGTTTTTTGAATGAAGAAGATAACAGAGCAATTTGAGCAGAGGCAGAGTTGTGTTTATGGTGTTTTCAGAGCATCTGTTTATAGGACCATAGCGTGCTCATTCCAGCCTAAAACAAAGCGTGCAGGTTGGGACACTTGATAAGCCAGCAAGCCTCTGCCACTGTACAGGAAGAACCCTGTTTCTTCACAAATGTTCTTGAATTCAGACTTGTTTCCCAAGTCCCGCCGTCGACCTCTCCGGGCTAGTTCACGGTCAAGGGCCTTGGCCCAGCACGCAGCACCCACAGGGCTGGCAGCTTTGCCTTCCGGGTCCCTTTGGGTTGAGTTGAGGCAGGGAGCTTCCTGGATGGCCTCTGGGGTCCTTCCATCCTTGCCTGCATTGCCCTGTGCCTCTGGCAAGCCACCTCAAGACAGGGACAGTGCTGTTCTAGGGCAGTGACCTGAATTGCCCCAGCAGGTTCCTTCTGTGTGATCTTAACACACCCCACCCCCATCCCGTGTTGTTGTCACCTGCTCCCTCAGCAGGAAGCAGGGCAGGGCTGTAGCTGAGCACTGGCCTGGCTACTGGGACACTTTTCACACCATCTGAGTTAGTGCAAACTTTCTGGCATGAGGTGCCAAAGGTATCAGGAGACCTACGCAGACAAGAACAGAGAGCCCTTCCAAATGCACATTTGTTTGATGGATTAAACTTTGGGGGCAGAGTTTGAAAAATACAGACCCAGATCATGCTCATGGCAAACTTGAAGAGTAAATAAATCATTCATGCCATTCACCATTTTGTAAAAGAAGAACACAGAGCCCCAAGGTAGAGCAGGCTCCCTGATTCAGGCTACCCCGAGGTTTAAATCCTAGCTCTACGGTTTTTTAACTGTGCCATCTTGGGGGAGAGTTTACCTGCTCTGAGCTTTCCTCATCTGCATAGAGGCTCATTCTGCTTTTTCTGCAAGGGTTTGGGGAAGATGGGTTAGCATGGAGAGGGAGCCGAGTGCACTAGGCCAAGTTGCTGAGCACAGAAGGAAGAGCGCAGAGGCCTTATTCTGGGGCCTTCAGCTCTCAGAGAGCAGGGCTTCTCCCGGCTGATGGGGCTCAGGGACTGAGCAAATGCCTAAGCATAAAGAGAAGACACGGCCAAACCATGCTAGGGCTGCCTGGAGTTCTTGAACTCCCACTCCACGACTCAGCTTCCCCAGAATGGGGCCTTAAGAAAAGATGAGGATAGGGCTGGGCGCATGGGCACACACCTATAATTCCAGCGATGCGGAAAGCTAAAGCAGGAGGATTGCAAGTTCGAGGCCAGCCTCAGCAACTTAGCAAGACCCTTTTCTCAAAGTAAAAAGGGCTGGGTGTGAGGCTCAGTGGTAGAGCTCTTGCCTACCATAAGCAAAACCCTGGGTTCAATCCCAGTACTTAAAAAACAAAATGAGAATATTAGGAGGTGAACTAGGGATCTTGACAGTCCCTTTGGAGAACCTGAGACCTTTCTCAGCTCCTTGGAGAACCTTGCTTAGAGTCAGTTTTACCAAGTTTATGCCCATGCCTGACCACAGGCTCGGAGCAGGTTGAGGCCGCTCACGGAATTTCCGTAGCCAAAGGCCCTGCTGCAGGCCCCCCTTGTGCTGGGGAAGCTTGGGCTTTCCCCTGGCGCCGTGGAGAGGTCTGACCCCAAATCTGCAGCGCCCACTCTGCCTACCTAACTCCCAGAACCACCCCCGCCCATATTCCTAGCTGCCCACTGGACCACCCCGGGTCTTGCCTAACCTTGGGTTCCTCCAACAAGGTGGGAGAACTGCACCCCAAAGCCCCCTTGCCCAGTCCAGGCCCTCCCGTGGGCCCAGACCCACTCTGTGCAGCACACAGCGTCCCTGAACTCCTCTAATTGCCCTTTGTCATGGACATGGGCCACAGCTCCAGTCCCTGCTTCTCCCCACCCCCATGGCCTCGGTTCTTTCCCACTGTCCCCGAGTCACACCCAGGGCGCCGTCTCCATGTGAAGGGTCTCCTAGAGCAAGCCTAGGGGAGAGAAAATGTCCTTGTGACCTGCCCCAGTCACCTTTGTCCCTGGGCCTGGAGCCAGGCCATGTGCTCAGCCCCCAGGCCTGCCGGCTTGGAGGACACCAGCCCTCAGAGTCCCTGCCCCAAGACAAGTCCCCTGGGCACTTCTTCCCCACACTGACTTGGCCAATTATCTGCTCAAGCCTGAAACCTTGGAGTTATCTCTGCATCTGTCTTCCTGGCCCCGACACTTCCTGCTGGGCCCAGCCAAAGTCACCTCTTCTGTGGTGCTCCCCTGGCCAGCCCACAGGACAGCTCCCTCGTGGGGAACCCAACGCTCCACACTTGCCACCCCGTCCTTGCCGCGTCCTTGGAACATTGGCTGATGGTTCCATCTAGCTGTGATAACAGCGCCTCTCGCACTGTGGAAAGCACTGTCCAAAGCACTCTGGGAGTTCCCTTTCAACTTGTGCACCGACCTGCAGATAATCACCCCCATTTTCCAAAGGAAAACAGAGAGATCAGGCAACTTGCTGAGGGCCACACAGCCATCGAGTGGCAGAGTAAATAATATCTTAGATTGTGTTTGAGCCTCTTACGTGACCTATGGTTTGTGAATATCTTCTCCAGAGACTGTCTCTCGCTCTGGTGCTGAGTCTCTTTTGCTGTGCAGAGGTTTTTTTAGTTTGACATAAGCCTATTTGTCTGTTTTCCTTTTTGTTAACTGTACTTTTAAGATCCTATCCCAAAATCATTGCCAGACCAATGTCAAGAAGCTTGGTCTCTATGTTTTGAAGTAACTGTGTAGCGTGAAGTCTTATATTTAAGTCTTTATAATTTAAGTCTTTATAATAAAGTTCAAGTTGATTTTTGCATGTGGTGTGAGATAAGGGTCCAGTTCATCTCTGGGTGACATCCAGTTTTCCCAGCACCACTTGTCTTTTCCCCATGGTGTGTTCTTGGCACCCTTGTTGGAAACCAGTTGACTACAAGCGTGTGGATGTATTTCTGGGCCCTCTTTGCTATACCATAAAATTTATGTCTGTTTCCATGCCAACGCCATACTGGTTAGACTACTATAGCTTTGTAATGTATTTTGAAGTTAGAAAAGGTGGTGCTTCCATCTTTGTCCTTCTCCCAAGACTGCTTTGGCTCTTTGGGGTCTTTTGTGGTTTAGAATTTTAGAATATTTTAGCCTTTCCATAAAAATATGTTATTGGAATTCTTATAAGGATCCCATTGAATCTGTAGATGACTTTGGGTTTGTGGACGTTCTCTTGACACCTCAGAATATTCCTGATTCATTGAAGATCTGGAACAAGACAAGGCTATTCAACATAGTCTGGAAGTCCTAGCCATAGGGATGCGGGAACAAGAAGAAGTGAAAGGTACCCAGATCACTAAGGAAGAACCAAAATTGTCTTCGACTGCAGGCAACAGTGATCTTATATCTAAAAAAAACGTTAACGACTCCCTTCAAAAAACTATTGCAATGAATAAATTCAATAAAGTCACAGGATACAAAATTAAATACCAAAATCAGTAACATTTCTATGT